AACCCAAATCTAGTATAAGGAAAGAAAGAAAAAGATCAGGTATAACTAAATGAAATAGAGATTCAAAAAACACTACAAAAGATCAACACAAAGTAAAGTTGGTTTCAAATGGTTCTCAAAACAAACTATAAGCTAGACTAAGTAAAGAAAAGAGATTGTCCAAATACATAACATGAGAAATAAAAAAGGAGATATTACAATTGGTACCACCTAAAAATAAAAGTTGTAAGAGACTATTATGAACAATGGTATGTGAACAAATTGGAAAATCTGCAGAAAAAGGATAAACTTCTGGGCACATATAACTTAACAAGATTTAACCAAGACGAAATTTAAAAAGCCTGAACAAACCAGTATCTAGTAAAAAGATTGAGTCAGTAATAAAAATTCTCCAAAAATGTAAAAGCCCAGGATCAGATGGTTTTACTCCTAAACTCTATCTAACTTTAAAAAATAATTTATACCAATTTTTCTCAAACTAGTGCAAAAAATTAAAGAGGAGGGAATTCTTCCAGACTCATTCTTTGAAGTCAGCATTATTCAAGGACACAAGAAGAGAAAGTTACAGGTCAATATCCCTGTGAACATGGGTGCAAAAATCCTCACCATAACACTAGCAAACCATATTCAACAGTATATGAAAAAGATTATATAATATGATCAAGTGAGATTTATCCCCAGAGATGCAAGGATGTTTCAACATATGCAAAGCAATAAAGGTGATACGTCAACAGAATGAAGGACAAAAACCATATTAAATCTTCATAGACACACGCATTTGATAAAATTCAGTATCCCTTCATGATAATAAAAAAAAAACTCTCAACATATTAGGTATAAAGGAATATACTTCAACAAAATCAGGGCCATATACAATAACCTGCAATAATCATTACACTGAATGTGAAAAGTTGAAAGCTTTTCCTCTGATAAATGGAATAAGACAAGGATGTCTACTTTCATCACTCCTATTCAACATATTACAGAAATTCCTAGCAAGAGCGATTAGGAAAGAGAAAGAAATAAAGGGCATTCAAACAGAAAAAGAGGGAATCACATTGTTTCTGTTTACAGACAACATGATCTTATATAAAGAAAAACCTATTACAGAAACAAAGAACAGAGTACCATATGTTCTCACTCATAAGCGGACCTTGAACAATTATCATAATACTATAAGAAAGGGATTGGCAGTAAGGAGTGGGGTGGGATTGGCAGTTGAGGGAAACTGCCAGGGGAGGGAGGCAGTTTCAATTCAGGGTTAGGTATACAAATATTCATTATGCAGGCACCTCATCAACAAGGGTACCTGCATAAGGAACATTTGTATACCTAACCCTGAATTGTACGCCACATCTTTAAAATATAAATAAATAAATAACCCAAAGGCTCCACCAAGAAACTCTTAGAACTGATTAACAATTTCAGTAAAGTAGGAGGATATAAAATCAACACTGAAAAATCAGTAGTGTATTTAACCAAGGAGGTGAAAGATCTCTTCAATGAAAACTACAAAACAGTGATGAAATATATGAAAGAGAACATAACAAATTGGAAAACAGCCTATGATAACAAATTGGAAGTATTAATATTGTCAAATTGACTATACTACACAAAGCAACCTACAGGTTCAATGCAATCTCTACGAAAATACCAATGGCATTCTTTACAAAAATAGAAAAAACAATTCTAAAATCTGTATAGAACCACAAAAGACTTTGAATGTGAAAGCAATTTTAAACAAAAAGAACAAAGCTGGTGGCATCACACTAACTGATTTCAAATTATACTACAAAGCTATAATAGCCCAAACAGCATGACACTGGTATAAAAACAGACACACAGACCAACAGAATAGAGGATCCAGCAATAAATGTAAATATTTACAGCCATCTGATTTTCGACAAAGTTGCCAAGAACTTGATTTTCGACAAAGTTGCCAAGAACATATGATGGACAAAGGACAACCTCTTCAATAAACAGGGCTGAGAAAATTGGAAATCCATATGCAGAAGAACAGAACTGGGACCTTATCTCTCACCATAAGCAAAAATCAACTCAAAATGGATTAAAGACTTAAATATAAGATCTAGAACTATAAAATTATGAGAAGAAAACATAGAGGAAATGCTTCAAGACATTGGTCTAGGCAAAGATATTATACCTAAGATTTCGGAAGCACAGGCAACAAAAGAAAAAGAAACAGACAAGTAAGATTAAATAAAACTAAAAAGCTTATATACAGCAAAGGAAACAATTAACAGAGTAAAGAGACAACCTTTTGAATGGGATAAAATATTTGCAAACTACTCATTTGATAAGGAATTAATATTCAGAATATATAAATAATTCAGCTAAACAGCAAAAAAAAAACCATTAAAAAATGGACAAATGATCTGAATAGACATTTCTCAAAAGAAAAAATACAAATTGCCAATGCTTAAATTAATATAACTAATCATCAGGGGAATGTGAATTAAAAGCACAATAAGATATCATCTCACTCCAGTCAGAATGGTTATTACAAAAAAGACAAATTAAATGCTGGTGATGATGCAGAGAGAAAGGAGTTCTTATACACTGTTGATGGTAATATAAATTGGTACTGTCATTATGGAAAACAGTATGAAGGTTCTTCAAAAAACTAAAAACAGAACTATCATATAATCCAGCATTCACACTACTGTGAATATATCCAAAAGAAATGAAATCAGTATTTTGAAGAGATAACTGTACCCCCCTGTGTATTGCAGCACTATTCACAATAACTAAGATATGAAATCAACCTATGTATCCATCAACAGATCAATAGATAAAGAAAATGTGCTTATATATACACAATGGAATATTATTCAGCTAAAAAAATGAAATTCTGTCATTTGCTGCAACATGGATGAATCTGGAGGACATTCATAAGTGTCAGGCACAGAAAGATAAACACTGCATGTTCTCACTCATACGTGGGAGCTAAAAAAGTTGAGCTCATAGAGAGTAGAACTGTGGTTACTAAAGATTGGATCGAGAAAGGGGAGGAGTCAGAGGGGGATTTGGGAGAGACTGGTTAATGAATACAAAATTACAGCTAGATGAGAGAGGAATAAGTTCTAGTGTTCTACAGCACTATAGGCTGACTATAATTAACAGTAATTTACCATATAATTTCCAATAGCTAGAAGAGAAAATTTCGAGTGTTCCCAACACAAAGAAATAGTAAATGCTTAAGGTGATGTATGCTAATTATCCCAATTTGATCGTATTACACTGCATACATATATCAAAATAGCACTCTGTATCCTATAAGTATGTGCAATTAATATTTGTCAGTTTACAAAAGCTTAACATAAAATCATACTGAATGAAAAAAACTTTGCTTATTTCATTCTCCCTCTTTTGAGTATGATTATACATCTTTTCTCCTAAGTCATTTACAAAAAGATATCAAGTATCTATAGGATATCTAAATTTTCTAATTTTTAAACAGTGTTCTACTTTATTGGGGGAGATCTGTGGAATATGATGGCACTAGGTGCATTAAACTGTAGTCTGAAGGAACTAACAATTTATAGCCATTCAAGTAAGAACCTAGTAAACACCTTTTTAAACAAAGTCATTAGTAATCAATCAATGACTTCATTTAGTGACTATACTTTGACCTTAAATGAAACACTTATTATCTACTTCAACATAAGTATAAAGTAGCCAGAAAATTCTGTGACATGAAAAAGGAAGGGTTCATATACGTTACTGCCTATCTAATAATAGGCAGTAAATAAGTACTTGTAGAATGAATGAATAAGAATAAAAATTCCAAATTATCTCAAGGGGCAAGGGCAAGGATAACAAATACTACAGGTTTACAATATAATAGAAAATAAAAGCAAAGGTTCAAATACCCTCAATATATGACAGCTTAAATAAGTGCCAAAATTATTATTTTTATTCTAATAACAAAAAAGAACATATATATATATAACTCAAAGTAATATGATTTCTATTCTTTAGAATCACTTTGGGCAAAATTTTCATTCATACTTATTATCCGAGAGCTATAAGGAAATAAGACATGTATATGAAGGTATGTGATGACTGCTTTTTTGGGAACCAAAGGAGGCAGACATATGGCCATGATGAACAAGTAAGGGTAGTGGGTGGAAAGAGAGAGCTAAAAACAACTTTCCTTTTGCTCAGCTTTCATTGATCAAGACTGGACTAATTAGCAGGAATCCTGTCCTTTCCCAAAGTATAAGCTCCTCACTGAAATGATTAATTTAAAAACTGGAAAGGGAGGAGCAGAAACTTGCAATTAAATCCATTCATTCTTGCAATAGAACCATAAGTTTTACTACTTTAGGTAATTTGTCTGCAAATCTTTCAGATACACTTTATCAATTTAAGTATGTGTGACTGGGTTCCTTTGTTGGTCATGAATGGAAAAATAAAACTCAAAAATTTAAACAATCTTTGGTACATGGTAACTCTAGGTCCATTTTTGCCTTAAATATAGTATGTCCATCCATTCTATTTAAAATCCATTTTCAGTTGAATGTCAAATTAATCTTTCAGCTTAAAAAATACAAAAACTGAGATGAGATTTCCCCAGAAAACTCCATCTAAGTTGCTTTAGTCCCTGAGAAATAAGGTGATGATTTTATTTTAAAGAAGTCATGTTAACAGTAAGTATTCATTTAAAAAAAAAAAAGCAAAAAGTACACTTGAATTTTTCTAATTGGGCAACAACTTACATACAAAAATTACATGTGATGCTATAAAGATCTTCATAAATTATTATGAGCTACAATGCTACCTACTGTTTTGCTTATCTTTGGAAAATCTAGAACAATTTTAATGTCATGCCTCTTATTATTGAGATTCCACTTAGAAGCACATTACAGACATATTAATTATAAAGATTCAAAAGCTATCAAGTAATTCAAATAAAGGAAACTGAGATTCTCATGCCAGACATATATTCTTATGTAAACATGGAGAAAAACTCTTACCATAAGTCGGGGTGCTTTCTCGTCTTCCTTGACTACTTGATCTTCCTTTTTCATATTCATAGCAATATAAGACAGTATCTTCTTCGACAATATTAAATCTCTTTCGATATTCCTGATCCAGAAATGAATTTGGTGATTCAGATCCCTTATGTACTGGCTTGCCCACCATATGTCCTCTGAGATCTTCACAAGGAAGGTTTCCTTTTTCATCCCTAAAGACAGTTTAGAGTAAAGGAAAAGAATGTAGAAAAGGGTTAGGGTAGTAAAATGGCAGAAAGTCTATATTTTAGATAATAATATTTTCCCCAACTTTCCAAACTTTCTTTGAAGTTTATAGCATAATTTTTAATTATTCATGTTTGTTGAGAAAGAAAAAGCTGAGGTTCAGAGAGATTAAATGACTTGCCTCATTGTCACACAGCTAACTGACAGAGCTAGAAATGGGCCACAGACCTCCTAACTCTTGCCCTACTCAATTTTTCACCGGACTGTATCCTACAAAGGAAATACTCTTAGCATATACATTGCTTTTAGTGTTCAAGACAGTAGGTATAATACTAACAATGTTAATCATGTAGCTTTCTTCTGCCAGTTTACATAATTGACTCATGGTGAAAATTTACACTGCTTAGAAACAAAGATGTGTTTAAGACCGTAAGGGGCACTGTGGCCTGAGGAACCCAATTAGCACTATATAAACTGGCACTGTAAAAATTTTCAAACAGCATGCTATTAATTTAAAATAAACCTTGATTAAAAGAATTATTCTTGCTATTCAAACTATGTATCTTAGTTAAGTGTAAAAGGAGATACTCATAGAATTCATTCTAAATAGATATATCAAAATTTCATGATATACCAACATTGTTTCTTGTGGAGATAAGGTGAATAAACTTTATAAATTATGGAGTTTAAGAATGAGATTTAGGGTGGTGGCAAGTTGATTTTTTTTCTTCTCTAGGATTCTAAAGGGAACAATCTCTAATAATTTATGGGATCTCCGAAACCTATTACTCACATCCAGTGAGTGATAGGTTACGAGGCCCATAATGAGTAGTTTTTTGATAGAGCTAGCCCATTTAGGATGGGTTAAATTGAACCTTGTTTAGTTTATAAACTGTTTCACTGATTAGTTATTAAATTTTTGTTAGAAAATATTGTCTTCTAGAACATGACTATGAAAATAAATGCAATGTTTCTTCCCTTGTGAATCATTACTTGTATTTCTACTTCTTAATTGTTTCCAGTTACCCTAAACAATGCCATGAATAAATTTCATCAAACTAGAAAGAAAATTTAATTTTATGTTAAGTGATAAGACTAAAATATTAAATTTAAAAAATAGACTGAATTATAGTGAAACAAATAAAAATAAAACATTTTAATTAATTCCTATTACATCTTATACAATGGTGATGAACTTATTAAAGTAATATCAACTCCAAAATATAAGCCTAAGTGCAGCAAAAACCTGTATTTCTGTATCTGTGTGCAAGTGGTTAGACTAAATTTGTCCAAATATAGAAACTATATTCCTAGTATTTGAAATATGTAGAAAATAGTAAATAACATTCGCAACATCAACAGTGAGTTTTCTCATCTATTTAACCTATCACAAGGTAAGACTACCATTTACATTGCCATTTACTCTTATGTCTACAATAAAAGTGCTGCTTATTAACAAAATATAACTATAGTTCTTAGCAACACGAAGGAAATAAATATAAAATCTAGGCAGAATTTATTTTCAGTTAGCTTAAACCTTTTCCTGAAAAAATGGCCTGGCACTTTTTGTTACTGTTAGTCCACTATCAAAAAGAACTTGATACTGCAATTAGCTTGGACATGGCCCTAACGAATTTATGGCACTAGAGAAAGGGTGTGCCTGTCAGCAAATAGGAAGACTTCTGTTGGATGCCTGTGACATGAATGTTAATACAGCTGATATCAGAGGGTGATTCAGCCCTATTAATATACCATGCTATATTTTTATACAGAAACATCTTGTGGAAGAAAATTGGATGAGCTGGTATTTCCTACTCTATAATGATATGAAGAGACTATATATCAACAGGGCAGATTTATTAAACATGTCTGTGTGGAATGACCTCAAATAATGCTGAATTAAGAAAAGTAGAAAGTAAAAACAAACTTTTCAGTAGAATGAATTAATACATATATTGTAATATACAAGTGTGTGTATGTGTGTTTATGTTTATGTATGTACTCATGTCATGAGTCCCTGAAGAACTCAATGTATTAATTCATTCTGCCGCAAAGATTTTTTTAACTGTTCTTAGTGTTATAAATTTATATGTGTATGTAATAAATCTACACATTTGCTCTAGAAAGGACTTAAGGTAACAGTAAAAAGCATTGTTTTAGTGAACTTTATATTTAATGACACATAGAGTTATTAGGATAAATCAGTGCTTAAAAATCATAGTTACTCAAATTCTTCATTTTTATCACAGAAAAAGAAATTTGGTAAAGTATAAAAATGCACTATATATTATGATAATGAAACCGTATATAATCACAAGACATACAATAAAATGTCAGCAAAATTTTACTCAGTTTACATACATGTTTTTGTTTTTAGAGAAAAAGGCACTTTTATAATCACTTATTTTCTGAAATAAACGTGTTCAAAGAATTGTAAACACATGAAAAAAATTCTGCCTACCTTGATAACTAGTCCTAACATTTTAAATTCTGTTGTTTTAAAAATTTTTTTATTTTAAAGATGTGGGGTACAATTCAGGGTTAGGTATACAAATGTTCATTATGCAGGTACCCTTATTAATTCTGTTTTTTTAAGATGGGAAAGCTTTTATTATTTATAATACAAATCAAATGTATAGTATATACATACACATACCACCAAAATAACTATCCTGCATAGAGAAAGTTTTTTAATGCGAGGAAAAAGAAAAGAGAAATGTTCAGAATAATTTAATTAGGCCAACCACATACATCCTCAAAATAAGAAAAATTTTAAATATTGGTAAGGCTGTATCTATAGAAAGAATGACAACTACAAAAAGTTTTAAGAGTATAACTTCAAGTCAAGCCAGAAAATGTAGATAATTTATATAAGACTGTCGTTCAAAGGGGCTTTGGTGCAGACTGTTCTGACTGCTCTATCAAAAAATTGTATGACTGGGTAACTAACAATTTTACTCAAAGTGTATTTAGAATATTCTGTTAAATTATATACTGATCAACGAAGAATCAATTATAGTGAGATAGTAAACACTAATTACAAATTTTGCTGAAAAGTATGGAGCTTTTAATCTATACTGATAAAACAAGGACCACTATGATGATATTTCAACCTCTTACATTCTGTATTATTTTTAAATAGCTTCTTCACACTTTTTATTGACTTCAATATAGAAGCTTAATAATATCACCACACTCAGAGGACGGGACTGGATCATTTAACTCTTTTGTCTTCCTAAGTGTATTTTAAATACTTTCTGTATAGGAGACAATTTCTTTATAACAAGTTCCTCCCTACCCAAGAGAAAAGGAAAGAACATTTAAAACTACAGAGGTTTGATAAAAATAATCTTTTGATGTTTATCTGTACATGTATCCCTCTGAAGAATGAGGTCTCTTACATAATCATCTGCACTGAAATAAAAATCTTTGCAAATAAAATGAAAACAAACTATAAAAGAGTCACTTCCAATTTGGCACACACATGCTTTCATTGCTCCTCATGAAAGAGTATTTAGAAAGTTTGAAACCATCTTAATAGAATGCAACGTGTGTTCTACTAGGATACTGGATGGATTTGTATATCTGGTTGTAAATTTAACATATGACTCTAAATGATATATTAAAAAGACTTATAAAATGCCAGCTTGGAAATTTATATCTTATAATCCATGTTCCCACAGTCACATTTAATTATCAAAAATAAGAACTAAAATGTGCATACAACTGGCTACAGTTTTATTACTAGATCATAATGTGGTATTTGCAGATATGTCATATTGCCATGTAGCATTTACATCATATAATATCAGTAACCATCATATCTAATATATATTTCTGAAACACTAAATGTATTAAAGTAAAGCATATGAAAATTAAACACAAGGAATCCAGTTATTTTATATACTGAAGAAATTTAAAACTAACTATGGCATGAATACAAGAGACCTTAAATTACTGTTTTTGAATGACTGCAGAACTAATTAAAAAACTGAATCAAATTCTCTATTATTGGTATCAATTTCAGTGCTGGCCCATTTCCATAATATTTGTATTTCACAAAGCTGGATATCAGAATGCTTTTGGGCAGAATTCATTACTGCATAAAGCTGTATTCCTCAACACCCACAAGGAATTTGTAAAAAGAATCTAGAAATGAAATATATAGCTTCAAGGAATCTAGAAAATAGACTTTAAAGAGATTGATTCTCTTGTAAACTACATCCTAAAAGAAACATTAATGGATAAATGAAGTGGAAATTCTAGATGTAGAAGTATTAGGAAAAAACAAACAAACAAACAAAATAGCCATCATCAAAATGTATCTTTCATCACCTACATTTTAAAAAGCACACAAAAAAGTATGAGATGCTTCAAAGAAACCTGAAATTTCCTGAGCCAAAGAGCCTCACTTATTCTTTACTTATTAAAATAATCTGAACTGTTAATATTACTTGCTATGAGATAATAGGTATAATTATTGCATAGCAAAAGTTTAATTCACTATTATTAACTAAAGTGCATTCTCTATAATGGGAATAATTTTCCAGAATATGTTCAGAATTCCTAATTGAGAAAAGGTGCTCCTTGAGAATTGACATTATAGTTTATTCACTGTTAGTTTAGTCTTTAGCTAGAAGCTGAGCTGGGAACCACATGGCAGTTAGTTTTATACCTGGGAATATATGGCTCTGCAGGAGGAGGAGGAATGTAGAGATCCTGGAGGGCAGAACTGTCTCTTTTGGTAGGCGTACTGATGGTGCTGGAAGGCGTGGCAACGCTGCTTGTGGGACTTCTAGGTATAAGAGGCTGGTTAAAATGAAAAAAGAAAATACATACGCACACAAACAACACACAAAACAACAACGACACATAGTTATCATTTTTAAAATTATCTATTTCTGCAAAGTTTTTGAACTTGGCTGAAATCAAGAAGCTTGTTATTTAGTACATGAATATTCCTTTGGATCTCCAAAAACAAAAACAAACAATATATCAGAGGTTTCCACTTCTTTCCCAACTCACTGTATTCTACAGTATAACTATCTAAAAGCTTTTTATAAGGCAAAACTACCATGCAGTCAGAAATCTATTAAAATAAAGCTAACTGTCAAAGTTCCACCTTTAAAAAGAAAGACAATGAAGAGTAACTCTGAAGAGAATTAGCTCACTCACATCATGATTGATATATGAGAAAGCTATTTTTGATCTTCTCCCAAAAAAGACAAAACATACTCCTAAGTTAACAAAATGTTACAGATTCTCAGAAAAGGTTACAAAAAATGGGATATGCAAGGTCAATACAAGAGAGTATTTTCTAGGAAAATGTACTTTTTTCTGTCAATATAAATATAGCTAACTGTCTTCTCAAAGCCATTTTATGGTACATCTTCAAAAGTATGGTAATCAATGTGACACAATCATTTCACCTTTCAGAGGCACACACATTTATCTTTCGTTTGAAATAATCCTTAGTTGCATATCTATAGATCTCATTTGCATGCCTGTATTTAAGTATTAAATAGGAGGTTCAAGCTAAGATCATATATATACTTAATTAAGCAGCACATCAGGATGCATTAACTTAAGAGCACTCCCAATTCCAAACTTACGGCATTTGAAAATAATCTAGTGGTCTGAGAAATGATTTTAAAGTGAAACTAAAATTCACAATTTTTAAATGTTTATCTTACAGTCTTACATATTAGCTATGCATACAATTAATATAGTAAAAATAAGAATTTTAGTGCAATTGCAAACACAAAAATAATAACAAATGAACTGTATCTTCACATGACAAGATGTTGCTATTTCAGCCAGTATGAAAACACTTTCAGCATATTTATATAGACTCACATTTCTATTACTAATATCCATTGCTAGATGCTCAAATATGGCATATTACAACTATTTTATATCATGACAATACTTTTGTACAGATAAACAAAATTTGTTAAAAGAGTCAAACATAAATACAGTGGAAAGTACAATGCAGGTCACTGAGGTAGGCTACATAATTTAGAACTCAGTTCATGATTTTGAACTCCCTTGTTACACAGCTCGTCTTAATAGCTTGAAATCACACGTTCTGCCAAAATGATAGTTAAGTTTTAAATTTATGTAAAATAGAAATTAAAGAGAAAGAAAGGGGAAAAAGGAATTATAATGTAGTTTGGGATTTTACAATATTACATCCTATATGATGTTAAAAAGAAGGCCAGAAGCTTCACATGTTAACTGAGGAATTTTAAGATATTATAAAGATACAAGAGTAAAGACTATTATATTCAACTATGCTAATTTTGAGAGTTCCGTTAGACTATGCCTGTCTTTTAGAATCAAAACTCTTGGCAATGGAAAATCCTGAAATTATATAGATAACCAGGAGTCACCCGTAGTGGTGAATATCATGAAGACTGAATAAATAAAGAACTATTTTATTTCTAAGGATGTATTTCATGCCTCTACAATAGATTCTTGAATGGCAGAGTCAATGTTACATACATATAGTCACTGTGGTGTGACTGCTCATAATTATTTTCCTCTATATCAGAACATCTTGGTTTTAAATACAGATGACACTAAACAATAACTCTGACCAAAATTTCATAATAGAAATGTAGGAAAGAAAACATTCATTGCACAGCATATTGTTTTCCAATTATTTTAAATATATACACGGTGAGAGAAAAACTAATATTCACTATGCTTTTTAAAATTCTCTAATAGCTTTTTTACTTTAAAACACCCGAACACTACAAATGAGTTTAACATCAAGTTCTAAAAACACAAGCTTTTAAAAAATAATCTAACAAATTTTCATTGTCTTTCTTCTCTTTTAGGGTCACTATATTTTGAGTACTTCTTTTGTTTACTTTTACCAGCTGTAGAACTAAAGATAATTTTTCCTGATTAGTACCTACCATTCTCCTCCCCAGTCAAAAAGGTAGAAAGGAAGGAAGGAAAAAGGAGAAGTTGGAGTCATCGGTTATAAGTATAATTTAAATACACCTGAAGTGTGAGGTAAGGGCCAAGAGAATATTTCATTTTGCTGGGACTATTACTAGGATTTTCTACCTAGTGTACTTGTACTTATCCCCTTCCTGGAAATTTAAATATAAGCCATGTCAACTTCCTTCAAATTGCTATTTCTCAAGGTTTCTATTTTCAGCAAGCAGTTATTATTAATATCATCAGTTTATGTCATTAGTTAAATTAGCACACATAGAGGAAAAAGACTCTTAAATATGCTTAAATAGATAACAGATTTGATTGTGCCAAGTTCAACCAGTTTAATTGAACTGTTTAAACAATTTATTTTTTCTATACTTAAGAAAGTACATCTGATGTTGAGGCTTTACCCAAAACATTTTAGATTTTAAAAGCTCTTGGCAAGCATATCTTAATTCAGTTGTCCCTCTGTCTAGTAAGTGATCCAGGTTTGATAAAAGCCTTGAATGAAACCAACGATATAATGATAGGTCTAATATTAAAGATTAAAACAGTGCATTACACATTATGCAGTTAGCTCTAAAATTCACTAGTGCCAAGATAACACAGAACTTATTTTGCCTTCCAGGGGGAAAATACCCATTGATATACAAATGATTACATTAATAGAAAACCTGGCCATTTATTTCATTCACTCTTGGGAATAAGCATAGATTCAAGTGGATTGCAATACCCTATTCTAGCACAAAACATTCACACAAGTCCTCATTCAGTTCAAACACATTCTTATTATAATTCCCAACATTAGTATCAGAACATTGTTTTATATTAACAACTCTACTCTTAATCATCTGAACAAATGCTCCAAAGGAAATATATTCTGAATTTTAGGTGGCAAGAATTCGCACACAATCTTGTAAGTTTCTTGACCATGTAAAGAAGGTTAGATCTAATTTGGAAAATTATTAGGCATACTTTTTTTCTGGTCAAGCTTTTCTTAAGTAGCAAATTATCTGAAAAGAGTTTAAGCAAGGAAAAGACATATATTCAAAATTCTCTCACTTTCAGTTATTTCACAGCTTTCTCTAGAATCCAAATTTATAAATACAAAAGGTTTGAGTCTTCTTTTATAAGCATATGATTTTTCCTTTTTTTATCAGACTACCAAGAAAACAAATATTGTTTCTGACCACAGATATGATCATATTATATTGAAATATTATCTGCCTAGGTTAAAATATACAGATATATGTACATAAAAATATGTATGTAGTTTCACAGTATGTAACTATTAAAGACTTAAGAATCACACTACAAAATGGCATTTTCAACCAAATCATGAAAATTTGCATACTGTATTGAGGCTAACACTCATGTATTTAATCTTGCATTGTCCAGTCCTATAGGCATAATTAAACTGCAACATTAAAACTGGACTCTCGCTTTTTTTTCAAATTACAGTAGACATTTTTGGGATGTCAACTAAGGAAAGAATAGGTAATTTTTACATTATAGGTAATTATTTGTAGTCAGTGTTAACATTTTTGAAAATATTTGGCTCAAAAACACAAATGTGACTTGGATCACTTAACTAATTTGCTTAAACATTGGTGAGCTAAAATTTGATGTGACAATTGCTTGCAGCTATTTACTAATTTGAACACGTAAAACACACATTTATTTCTGCCTCCCAGTCAGCACAATTACATTAGTTAAAAATTTATTTTCTTCTTTAGTGTTATATTTAATAGTTCTTGTTCTCTTTGAAAAATGCTTTTAAACAAAATCTTAGAAACATATAAATTTTCTGTCACTTTTTTTAGTCACACTGACCTGTAACCTAGATACTGAAATAAATTTTATCATTACTTCTGTGTTTTGATTTTTCCAGAATGACCTTAACCATTCATATCTGTATGTATTTTAAACATAACACAATCAGAATTCTCTAGTTGTTATACCATTTGATAGGCAAAATTGACTCCTATTACTTATTGCTTTTTCTGCTCAAAGTTATTGCAATATCCTGTAAAAAAGGCATCAGGTAATGCCTAAACAATAACATTTAGATGGACAAGCACAGAATCACAAAATCACACAAGTAACTATGGCATTGATGTAAGAGATTTATGAACTGGAATACAGTTTAGGAACATAATTATAATGTTACAACTTGATGTCATTTTATATAAAAATGCCTTGAGCCAGGCTCGGTGGCTCAGCCTGTAATCCCAACGCTTTGGGAGGCCGAGGTGAGTGGATTGCCTGAGCCCGTGGGTTCGAGACCCGCTTGGGCAACTTGGCGAGACCTCATCTCTACAATAAATCAGAAAAATTAGCTGGGCGTGGTAGTGTGCGCCTGTAGTTCCAGCTACTTGGAAGGCTGAGGCGGAAGGATTCCTGGAACCCAGCAGGTCGAGGCTGCAGTGGTCAGCAGTGGCCACTGCACTCCAGTCTGGGTGACAGAGTGAGACTCCAACTCAAAAAAAAAAAAATGCCTTGAATGAAATATAACTCATTATGTTGAATTCCAGCATTGATTTTAGTGATCATTTCTGAGATACGTTTTCATCAAAAAAAAACTAGGTTCTTAAATATTTTGAAAATCAGTGATTTCCAGTGATGATTTTAACATTTTTGGCAGTGTCCAGCTAATTCGCCCATACATTTCTTGTAAGAAGAAAATGACACCACTCATATGTGCTCATGGCGTATGTATATTAACTGAAAACCACAAACATCTAAAAGTATACACTTATTCACAATCCCCTGGGATTTTTTCATTGAATTAGAAGAACTTGACCATAAGCAATCACTATGCTGATCAAAAATGAAGAAAATCAGCAGAGGGTACCATGCCAAAAGATGTTTTGAAAAACAGTTCTCAGAAAGCAAGGAACCCCTGGTTTGCTTTCTTGTAATAAAATATTCTATCTCAGATATCTCTCTTTTTACATATGGGAGCAGATGACAACAAAAGTACATCTTCTAGATATTATTAAATCTGCTTGTGGTATTATTAAATCTGCTTGTGGTATTTAACTAAGGGATCTTGAAGTCTTTCAGTTCTGTCACAAAATATTTGAGAAATCAGAGATTTATCAAAAGAGCTGCCAAATTTTATGAACTGTATTAATGAAATTGTTCTGTGAGCATGAAGTTTAATTGTGTGCTTTTGTTTATTTGGCTATAATTTCACGAGTGAGTTTCAAAAGAAAATCCATATCAAAATTGATCACTGCAGCTAATTAAAATTGAAAGTCACTATCCCTTTAAATATTCTTAGAACTAAAACTACTACCTTAATTAAAATGTGGTATTTGATAATCTTCTACCTTAGGGTAGATAAGGTTGTTTTATTTGTACAGATAAAAACTATTTCCCTGTTAGTTTACAAAATCATTATTCCTTATGTTAGGATAAAGTTATTCATTCAAAAGATGCATGTATTACTGTCTACTTCCATACTATACAAGAAACTTTGCTGTATTTTATCTGAAAATGCCTGGTATAGTATACTAAAAAGGTGAAAATAGACATAGTGAGTTAAATAAATGTCACATATTATTGTCCTTTTATATCATCTATTTTAAATGATTCCTGGTGAACTACTGGTACACCCTATGAAAAAAGAAATAACCTAACATCCAATTCCTCAAGTTTGAATGCTGAAAATTTATATTTAGGTAAATTAATAGGTGTTTTGGCTCCAATGTATTTGTATACACACCAGAAACAATAATACAGTAAGAATGGCATTCATGTCTACGTAGGAGATCAGTACTACATTTATCACTTATTTCACATGTGAGGTAGTTTCTTAGGCACTGGGAAGAAAACGTGACCTCAAATAAAACTATGCAAGATTATCTATAACTGCCTTCAAGACCTTCTCATTTCACTATATCTCACCATTTCTTTGACTTTCCCCCCTCTGGAGGCAGTCTACCTTCAACCTCCAGATCCTTGTACCATCAGGATCTGTCCATCTTTTGTTGTACCAAAATCTATAAACTATAAAAATCACAACCAGATATTTTTAGTGATGCTTCCAGGTGCCTTTGCATTTTAGCACAGGACAAAGCCTTAAGAGCAGGGAAGAATTCTGTAATGGTACAATTTCAGGTCTTTAGAATAGGTTTCAGGGGGACTTGGTGGTTGTGGTGGTGGTGTGATATGTTAGAGGACTTATCCATTTCCCTTATTCCCAAGATCTTGTTTTAACACTGCTAGAGCATATTTAATTAATGCTAACAATCTTCCTTCTGTTCTATAAAAAGCCAACCACTTAAGCTATTTTCAAAAGTATCAGAAACAGTTTTCCTCCCAATAGTATGATTTATCTATAGATGGTTAACCTTGGTCAATACATTCTAGGTAAACTGAATTCATTTGAAATGACAAATTTACAAAAATATCAATATATTTCAGCACTTTTGTAATGCTGATTTCCTTTTTCAGATTTCAGCATTCTATAAAAGTCAATTTACAAATACATGCAGCAGAGCTAAATACGCAGTGAAGAAAAAATATAATTAGTGAGCTGATGAGGCACGTTTCTCGGCATTTAGGAATGAACCTAGAAATAGTGCCTTAAAAGTCTATTATAAATATAGGGTAAGGAATGCTATGAAGTAATGCTATTATAAATATAGGGTAAGGAATGCTATGAAGTAACTTTAAAGTTAAAGTCTTAGTTCTCTAGCTTTGAATACATACACAAAATGTATGTGCAAGAAAAAGTTGGTCTTTCCATTATTCCAGTATTTTATATAAAAATGATTCTTAACTGGGTACTGCTATTACCTTAATTCTCCACTTTAGTTTGTGTTTGTGGAAAATGATATAACAGGAAATAGATTATCAATTTATTTGCTAGAGATAGGTCCTTCAAACAAAGTGCATGGATCAACAATAAACTAGGGTTTTCTTGGTATTCAATGTGAAGTATGAGAGTCTAGAGAAGAATTATTAAATTTCACTACACATATAGAGAAGAAAATCTAATGGCTGAAGTCGTAAGCCTCTTCTTCAGGTTTCCTGCCCCCTCAGAATTTGAAGAAGGATCTTTGGGGAAGACACAATAAGAAACTCCAGAATGAAACAACAAGGCAACTTACAATACAGTGAAGAAGAAAATGATGTGATGGGAAAATCTGATCTGCTCACCTATGACTTAAATAATGAGGTAAACATTGACCTCTAAACTGTCATGATCATCAAATATTTTTGATACTAAACATATACTGCAAGTCAAATGCATTTGGACACATTAATACAGTTTTACATATACTTATTTGAAAATTAAAGATTCACATTAAAATTTTTGAAAAAAATTTAAAAACATTTAAAAATTTGAAACATTTTATGTGATTTAAGTATAATGCCAAGCTTGAGGAAAATTAGTAGTAAAGTTTTAAACAATGAGAAATCATCATAATCTATAGGGCCATTCATGTGTAATGGATATTATTTTTTAAATATATGAATAAAATGTAATAGCAATTTACATAGCAGTGACAACAGTGCATTTCATAAATTGCTTCTTTTAAAAAATCTGAACAATGGCCAATATTCTAGTTCAATGGGAAATGTAATTTTTTTAAAAAATTGAACTTCTAAGAAAAAGTAAGTCTCTTATTTTTAAAAAATGCTAGTTTTGTGAAGGACAAAACTTTCTATATATTGAAAGATTATATCCTGACTGACATTGAAGAAAATATATTACTTGCTTGCCTTTCATATATCAGAATATTTTTATAACTTTCTAGATAGCATTTAATAAATGTTATCAACATCCAGAGTAATATTTTAGAGTGATGTTTCAGGCTGAAGACAAATGCAAAAATCTCTAATGCAATTTTCCTATTTTTGCCACCCGACAAGGTGGAAAGAGAAAAATGATCAATCAGGAGGGATGTATTAGGTACATTTCACTGACTAATCTGAAAGTTCATTTTCCTACTGTTTATAAATTACTATTTTACAGATTTAAAATAATTCTATAAACTATCATTCAGCTTCTTCCAGAAGTATGATTACAACTTACATATAGAAGAATCTATTAGAAAAATGAAACATCTTATTTTCATTTCTATCCATATTATGGCATGAAATAAATTGTGACTTTTTGGAATTATGCTTTAAATGTTTAAAAATTAAGGCAGGATTATTTATCATTTGGGTTTGAGATACTCTCTCAGATTTCATCCCAATTAAGCCTATTAGGATAAGCTGTGAAGAGATCATTTCACAAACAAATTTTCAAAAGCATACAAGATTAATCCATATGCTGCTGAGATGAGGCACAATAAAGAAGCATTACTGAGATAATCTATGGCTAAAATGATGGTGTATGACTTATGATTAAGCTTCATTACCTGCAGAGCAAGGGGCTTCCATCTCATATTTTTCAGTAAAGCTGGTGCTGAGGTAAGCATGCTCTGAGGTCGCTTTTTCAAAGTTAAGATAACACCACTCGGGTCCTCTCGTAGTGCATTCACCAAATTTTTCAACTGCCACCCCACCTGGTAACCAGCAAAATCATTACAATAAAATTGAGGTACAGTATTCAAAGATTTAATGTTCTCCCCCTTTAATAAGATTAGTAAAAAAAAAATCACATAATTGGTGTACCATCCTACCAATTTTCAGGAGATATATAATCAAGAAAGAAATTTTATCTTTGAATTGATTAACCATGTTATTGCATCAGTCCATATCATTATGAGGCGACATAATGGACATTTACCAAGTCAAAGCAGAGACTAAAACGATATCCTACCAATGGAGTAATTTAGGATGTAAAGAAATTATGTCACCATTAATGCTGCTCAGCTGCTAGTTCTAAACCCAAGCTCTATTAAAAAGTACAATTTTAAAATTTACATGCCTGAAAACAAGGATTTGGCAATGTCCTGAGCTTACAATCTACACCACATGCTTTCTCATCACCATCTTTCAGAGATATATGGTACAAATGTCTCTAAATTTTGCTACCAATAGCTGGTACTGACACACCAAGGCACCATTATGACTCATGGACAATAACATCAATAAAATGAAACTTTTACCATGCTATAAAGATAGAATTAAAAATGACAAGGTAATGCTACTCTAATGCAGCAGCTATTGGAAATGTATTCCAAACAATTCTATAAATTTAAAATATAGTGTGCTAAATTTAACAAACCCATTCTATTTGAATATCATTTCAAAACATATTGCATAATTAAACCAAAGTACTTGATAAATGTCTTGAAACCTGGCTCAGCTGTTGCTCATGTTAAATTACTTCACTCAACATCCTTTTGAAATTCTAAACATAGAATACTTTCTGTTACTTTGTTTTTAAAACAGACTAGTGAACCAGTATCAGATAACTGAAATCTAGAACTATGCTTTAAAGAAACACATTAAAGTATTTATTATTCTAAGGTTTGTTTAAAAATTACATTTCAAATTTAAGAGAATAACATTTTCTCCCAACTCTAAAATGGATTATAATATTTCCAGGATGTGTTATATAAATACTTTAGGCCAAAATGTATCCTGGGTTACAAACTAGATTTAGAAAATGGTCTGAACAGTGATTGAGTTTGTTTCAAGACACCCAAGTGAAAAAGAATGGATGCCTTTTGTCTGCCTGGATGATACTGGTCAAGCTGTAGAGAAGGAGCACTTCCACCAAAGAAGCACAGATCCCCAGAGACTATGAAGAAGAGGTAATTTGGAATGCAGCCACTAAAAAATTATGGGGAACATTGGTAAATTTAATGAACATTCACTTAAATTATAACTTTGACTATAGCTGAATTGAGTGATGGTAAAGAGAAAAAGTTAGACCAAAAAAAGAAGGGAGATGTTATAATACTTACAACCTCAATCTCAGATATGAATCAAAATAATCATTATGATACTTTGATAGCATAAATAAGGGATTGCCATTAAAAAAATCACATTAATGCACGTCAACCGCAGTAATATAACTGGTCAAATGTCTCCCAATACATATAAGTGGGGGTTATTATGTGGCCAAAGGTATTTTACCTTGATTTTGATTCCTGTGACAGCTAAGTAGTGTTCCTACAGTCATTTTTATAAACCAAAAGTTAAAGCAAAGAAAGTTGACAACAAAGTGCTCATTTTGCTTGCCAAAAAAATATAAGCATGGACTGCTGTTGCTATTTTTTTTGACAGAGTCTAACTCTGTCACCCAGGCCGGAGTATAGTGGCATGATCATAGCTCACTGCAATCTTGAACTTGACTCAAGCGACTTGCGCACAGATTTTAAGATATGTTTGGAGAGAGAAAATATATTGTTTATTCAAAGACTTCAAGGACAACTTATTAATGATACTCATACTTAATTATTAATTTTATTCATTCAAATAATTGCTAACCATACTAAAGCAGTCAATAAGTCAACGTGATGGCTGTATCTTTCTTCCAGTATATCTATTCTCAACAATGAATTACACATTGATTTCTATTCACCAATTTTTTTCCATTTTAATCACCGTAAGATTTGAAGATTTTTAAGGCTAGATGGTGTATTCCTGTGAAATGTTCAATACAATTTGAATCATTCTGTTTTTTTCACACTTTCTACACGCTCTTTTTAAGTAAACAATTCCAAAAACCAGAATTGTTTTTCCACAAGGACGAACTGGTGCTTGATAAGAAAGTTAAATTGGGTGTATTTTAATTTTATAGCTGAATGCTATATAATGGCAGAAAACTTGGGTATATAATTTTAGTACTTTTTAATCAGCCTTTCCACTATTATTAACATAACATTAGCAATTTTTTTGAGTTGGAGTCTCACTCTGTTGCCCAGGCTGGAGTTCAGTGGCACACTCACAGCCATCACAGCCTCGACCTGCTGGGCTCTGCCTCAGCCTTCCAAATAGCTGGAACTACAGGTGCAGGCTACCACACCCGGCTAATTTTTTTGATTTATTGTAGAGACAAGGTCTCGCCACGTTGCCCAGACTGGTCTCAAACCCCCTGGGCTCAGGCAATCCTCTCGCCTCAGCTTCCCAAAGTGGTTTGAGCCACCGCACCCAACACATTAGCAATTTTTTAAACAAAAGTTAAGAAATATATGCCCAAACTGTACATAGTATATATATTTGGCTTTTATATTCTACTTCCACTATTATAAAAAATGATTGGATAGAAGCACAAAGATAAGTGTGTAACACATATGTCACAGTATTGTTTAAACCAAAGAAAAGCTGTACGGTAAGTAAAAGTCCATTGATAAGGAATAGAAAATTGGTTGTGTGGAAAAAAGTAAGTTCCAAAATAGCAAATATAATTTAATTTAATTCCACTTTTGTTAAAAAAATATAGAGAGATATAGAAGATATCATTAATGGTGGTTACATTAAACGCAGTAAGAACTTGCATTATATATTTTCATTTCCTGAACTTTCGACAATAAGCACGAGTCACTTTTCTAAACAAACAAATAAAACCAACAAAATACTATGGGCCTAGTCCATGAATAGTAATATTCCAATTAGAAAATCATAAATTTTATGAATTATATAATTAGGCATGTTCGTAAAGGATGAAATTTCCACAAAAATAACAGAAGCAGAAAGGCTACACTATTTAAAACACTACAAGGTGGTGATAGAGAAATCAAATCTGCTTTGTGCATTATACTTTTAGATGAGTTGCAAAAGAGAATACAAATTACTCAGGTGTACTCAATAAGTCAAGAACTATATTATTCACTGATTTTTGATTCAATTAATGATTTCAGTTGATATTTCACTTACACATTTAGTCACTTTTACTTATAAACTACTAAATGAAAATGAATCCCATTGAGTAATTTACAGCCTATACATAACATTTTTCTCAGTAACATAGATAGGTAGGTTTTAGCTTTATCAGTCCCATTCTAGTACTTCCAGACACATAACCAGCACTTTGTGTCTTTCTCATTTCTTTTTCTTTAGTCCTTTCTCAAACTTAATTTGGAACACTTATAAATTATTCTCTATCTTCTCTACTAAATACAATTCTTAACAATTGCCCCATTTATTGGTTCTATTCAAGAGAAAACATGACAGGGTCCTAGAGCTCCAGCTCTGGTTCTGTGAAATCCTAACATATCTTCAGTCATATAATGAGATGTAGCAAATTACTGAAATTAATGCACTTCTCTCCAGTTGTTATTAAGATACTTATGGTTGACAGATTATTGGGGAATGTGAATAGATGGTAAGTAAAAGAAGGCAAGTATGTGTGTTACAACTTCAAGAAGGTTGGGAGTCCCCATATTAGGAGATAAGTGTAGGAATACACACACCTGAAACATATATAATATATAAATGCACGCTAATCAGTTTTGAGGATTAGTTTTCAATTTTTCATTTAAGTTTCTGGTTACAGTTTTATAATATTAATTGTTATAGTCTTGAATTAGAAACTACATAAAGATATAATAGTAATGTGAAGAATGATTGTAAAGTATTCTCCATTGTCTGCAATGAAAGTCTTTATGTATTAGTAGGCAGAGAAAGCTTTGAAAGGAGTGTTAGTGGCTACTAATGTAAGAGTATAAGTTGCTAATATAGAAATAAACTAAATAATGTACAAAATTTAAAGAGCTAGTAGGTTATACATAAATAAAGAGAAAAAATTCTAATAGTCAAATATATCCAAAAAAGAAATTAGCTGATTTGTGAAATAGTGAGCTCAACATCAACCCATGTTTCAATATTGTTGAACCGGTCAAATGATTAGATAACTTCTAAAGTCATAATATATTCCAATTCTACCACATAAAGTGGGCAGGGACATGCAAATAGATGATGACAATAGAGCAGCTTGAATAAAAGAATATGGTCCTGCGACATCTTTGCCTGCTTGCTCTCCATCTTTTCTTCCTCACAACCAATACATGTGTTTTCTCTAGGCTAAGTGCTAGATGCCTTGCTAAAATTTCATGCTATCTTCACACAATACTATCTTCTCTTTCAAGAGCTTTTACTAGCAATTTCCTGCATATGATTCTCAAATCTATGTCCAATTCCTGCTTCCCATCAAGAACTCTACTCATATATTCCCAAATGTTCAGTTTATCCATACTAATAGCTAACGAATAATCACAAGCTCTGACAATTCACTGTGCTAGATTCTTCACATCTAAGTTACATTCTTTAAATTTATATTTTCATTCTCACAAAAGATCAATGGGTTAAACTATTAAACCCATTTTACACGTGAAGAAACTAAAGCAAAAAGAGATTGTTTTCTTGCCAAGAGTACAAAGATAAGTGGCAGAGCTATAATTTACATTCAAGCAAGTATTTTCAATTTTAAGCATAGTATCTTTCCCTGAATATCCATTGGTAGTTCAAAGAAATGCAACACTTTAAAAATCAAATTCATTATCTCTGTACTTTCATTCACCAAATAAAAAATTTCCTATCATTCTCTCAAGTTTGCAATTTAGGGTCACATATGACTATTCTCGTCTTTTTAACCCATGTATGTGTCCTAAAT